ACATTCGTGTCCTGAAAAACGTTTGTGTCGCTCTTGGAAATAAAGTAGGTTTTCATAATAAGCAGAAGTTTCCTGTCCAGGAGTAATTTGTGGACCAGTGGTTCAGTCTTTAGACCCTTCGTCTGCTTCAGTCGCGCCATCGCTGGAATGAATCTCCAAGAATCACCTTAGTTTGGCTTCGCTGCTTTTCCCCTTGTCTTCTTCTTTCAGCGACCTCAAAAACAGACTTTCTTTTGCGGCGAACTGCTCCTGGATTCTTGTCGCCATTGCAACAAACTTTGTGTGAACTGCGAGGAAGATATAGGTCAAAAAAGCCGCTAAGAACTGTTGCGTTGGTGGAGTAAACAGCGTCTGTGTCGTACGTAAACCACGTACCGGCGGCGCAGGCAAGTCAGTTACACTAGAAACGTAGGGAGTTTGATTGACAGCCTGTCAGCTCACAGATAACGAGGCAGTGTCGTTATCTATTGGCAAAAGTTTAGCCCCACCACGTCCAGAGTTGATGAATTTTTATTCTCTTTTTTTTGGTCATCATAATTACAAGGCGACTGCATCTATAATCTATCACTGACAATTTGAAACAAAAAAAATCCTCCATACAACCTTTAACGTTTGAACATTTTTAAGGAGACAGTTGGTTCCCGTCCAGGCGCAGGACGAGACGCAGCAGCGGATCAGGAGCAGCATTCGGTTTTTGTGCTTTGTCTTCATTTTTGTGAGCTCAGAAAATCACAATTCACACAAATATATAGAAGTGAAAGGAATAAGGATAGAAATACTAGATTCTGACCAGAACGAGGATAAGGTCAGAGATCAGAACTGTATATTTCAGACCTACAGGCAGATCATGACGAGGCGACCCAGAAAAAATATCTTTGTGTTAATGTGTTAATATGTTGTTTTTGGACAAATATAGGATTTTCAAAACAATAAAAGGAACGTGGTGATTTAAATATGTGTTGTAGTTAATACCCCAGAGAAGCCAAATTAAAGTTGTAAAAGAGTAGTAAAGTGAATACATGATTTTGTGTATTTTATGTATTTTAAAGTATTTTCCTTGTACTTTTTCAGGTGACCCTCGTGGCCACTGCTCCTCTCACGAACCTGGCGGTGGCGGTGCAGCTCTACCCGTCCTTCCACACCAAACTCAAGGCTCTGTTTCTGATGGGCGGGAACATCAACTGTGAGTCCGAGCGGAGGGAGGGCGTCCGGCTTAAACCTCGTGTGTGTTGTGGGACGGGGGAGGGCATCAGGTTTAAATGCGTCTTCTCTCGTAGCCCGCGGGAACACGACGGTGTGTGGAGAGTTTAACTTCGTGGCCGACCCCGAGGCGGCGTACATCGTCCTGGACCGATTCACCTGCCCCACCTACATCGCCTCCTGGGAGTTCAGCTGCGCCTCCAGCCTGCCCTGGGTACGACCTCTGACCTCTGACCTCTGACCCACACCGCACCCTAACACTGCACTTTAACACTACACTCTAACACTACACTTTAACACTACACTTTAACACTACACTTAAACACTACACTTTAACACTACACTACAACACTAACAATTAACACACACTACTTTAACACTACTTAACTACTAACACTACACTTAAACACTACACTTTAACACTACACTTTAACACTACACTTTAACACTACACTTTAACACTACACTAAACACTACACTTTAACACTACACTTTAACACTACACTTAACACTACACTTTAACACTACACTTTAACACTACACTTTAACACTACACTTTAACACTACACTTAAACACTACACTTTAACACTACACTCTAACACTACAATTTAACACCACAATTTAACACTACACTCTAACGCTACACTTAACACTACACTTTAACACACTTTAACACTACACTTTAACACTACACTTTAACACTACACTTTAACACTACACTTAACACACTTAACACTACACTTAAACACTACACTTTAACACTACACTTTAACACTACACTCTAACACTACACTCTAACACTACACTACACTTTAACACTACAATTTAACACTACACTTAAACACTACACTTTAACACTACACTTTAACACTACACTTTAACACTACACTTTAACACTACACTCTAACACTACACTTTAACACTACACTTTAACACTACACTTTAACACTACACTTTAAACACTACACTTTAACACTACACTTTAACACTACACTTTAACACTACACTTAACACTACACTTTAACACTACACTTTACACACACACTTTAACACTAACACTAAACACTACACTTTAACACTACACTTAACACTACAATTTAACACTACACACTACACTTTAAACACTACACTTTAACACTACATTTTTAACACTACACTTTAACACTACACTTAACACTAACAACACTACACTTTAACACTACACTTTAACACTAACTTTAACACTAACACTACACTACACTACAACACTACACTTTAACACTACACTCTAACACTATACTCTCACACTACACTTTAACACTACACTTTAACATTACACTTTAACACTACGCTCTAACACTACACTTAAACACTTCACTTTAACACCACAGAGTCATTTGACTGTAACTCTGTGTGGTGTGTTTTCAGTCGTTCTGTGATCAGTGGTTGGCTCAGTGCACCGTCAAAGCTGAGTTCATGAAGAAGATCACCGAGGTCTCCAGAAAAGTACGTCTCTGTAAAAACACAAAAACTATTTACTGACTTTTTTAAAACAGTCTAAGCCAACATCAACCCCCTTTTTTCTTATTTTATATGATTATTATTATTTGTATTTAATTATTAATATTTTATTTATTTTTTTGTTATTAATAATAGTATTAGTGTATTTATTATCATTCTATTATTATTATTGTGTGACTCTACTCATATTTTCATATTTCCTCAAAGTCTGAGTGATTTGTTTTTATTAGTTTTATATGTTGTTTTTTTATGCGTAAAAATGAAAAACGTGTCTGAAAAACGTATCTATATTAGTTTAAGTTTTACAGTAACTAGCATGCTAACACACACTTCCTGTAAGAGACGTTTTGCTCAGATACATAACTCCGGTTCAGGGTGTTTTTATTAGAGTGTAAATGTTTGTGTACTTTTGTGTGTACTTTTGTGTGTACTTTTGTGTGTACTTTTGTGTTACTTTTGTGTGTACTTCTGGGTGTGTCCTGCAGAGGGCGCAGTCTCAGGATTATCAGAAGGAGATCACGTCTGGTCAGGGCTTCAACTCGTGCGACTGTTACGCCATGGCCGCCGCCCTCGACGAGAGCCTCATGCTGCACAACGAACAGGTCTGAGTCTGCTCCAGACCGAGTCCAGACCTGCTCCAGACCGAGTCCAGACCAGGTCCAGACCGGGTCCAGACCGAGTCCAGACCAGGTCCAGACCGAGTCCAGACCGAGTCCAGACCTGGTCCAGACCTGGTCCAGACCTGAGTCCAGACCAGGTCCAGACCGGGTCCAGACCGAGTCCAGACCAGGTCCAGACCAGGTCCAGACCGAGTCCAGACCGAGTCCAGACCAGGTCCAGACCGAGTCCAGACCAGGTCCAGACCGAGTCAGGACCGAGTCCAGACCAGTCCAGACCGAGTCCAGACCGAGTCCAGACCAAGTCCAGACCGAGTCAGGACCGGGTCCAGACCGAGTCCAGACCGAGTCCAGACCAGGTCCAGACCGAGTCCAGACCGAGTCCAGACCAAGTCCAGACCTAGTCAGGACCGGGTCCAGACCGAGTCCAGACCAGGTCCAGACCGGCTCCAGACCGTGTCGGCTCCAGACCAGGTCCAGACCCGGTTTAGACCAGAAACAGGACTAAACCAGGACTAAACTAGAACCAAACTAAGTTCAAATCAGGTCTAAACAAGTAGTAGCAGTAACTACCTGCAGTAGTAGTAGTAGTAGTAGTAGTAACTGCAGTAGTACCTACAGTAGTAGTAGTAGTATTAGTAGTAGTAGTAGTAGTAGTAGTAGTAGTAGTAGTAGTAGTAGTAGTAGTAGTTGTAGTAGTAGTAGTAGCAGTACCTGTAGTACTAATCTCTCTGTCTGTGTTTATATATCCTGTTGCTTTTGCAGGTAGTAGTAGCAGTAGTATTAGTAGTAGTAATATCTGCAGTAGTACCTACAGTAGTAGTAGTAGTAGCATTAGTAGTAGCAGTAGTAGTAGTATTAGTAGTAGTATTAGTAGTAGTAGTAGTAGTAGTAGTAGTAGTATTAGTAGTAGTAGTAGTAGTAGTAGTAATATCTGCAGTAGTACCTACAGTAGTAGCAGTAGTAGTAGTAGTAGTAGTAGTAGTAGTAGTAGTAGTAGTAGTAGTAGTAGTAGTAGTAGTAGTAGTAGTAGTATCTGCAGTAGTACCTACAGTAGTAGCAGTAGTAGTAGTAGTATTAGTAGTAGTAGTAGTAGTCTGCAGTAGTACCTAGTAGCAGTAGTAGCAGTAGTAGTAGTAGTAGTAGTAGTAGTAGTAGTAGTAGTAGTAGTAGTAGTAGTAGTAGTAGTAGTAGTAGTAGTAGTAGTACAGTAGTAGTAGTCAGCAGTAGTACCTACAGTAGTAGCAGTAGTAGTAGTAGTATTAGTAGTAGTAGTAGTAGTAGCAGTAGTAGTAGTAGTAGTAGTAGTAGTAGTAGTAGTAGTAGTAGTAGTAGTAGCAGCAGTAGTAGTAAGTAGTATTAGTAGTAGCAGTAGTATAGTAGTATTAGTAGTAGTAGTAGTAGTAGTAGTAGTAGTAGTAGTAGTAGTAGTAGTATTAGTAGTAGCAGTAGTAGTAGTAGTAGTAGTAGTAGTATTATTAGTCAGTGTGTTTATATCTCTTTATATCTTGTGTCTTACAGGTGGCGGTCTCCGTGGAGCTAGAGGGCGCTCTCACTCGGGGGATGATGGTGGTGGATTACATGGAGCTGCTGAAGAAGAAACACAAGGCCAACATCATGAAGAAGTTCGACCTGGAGAAGTTTCAGAAGATGCTCCTGAAATCTCTGCAGTGAAACGACGCCGAGGCTTCAGCAGCTCTGCCCGACGGTTTTATACTCGTTAAAACAGGAAAAACAGTTTAGAGTTTAACTAAAAGTCTTCCTCTGTTCCCTTCTGCGTTCAGAGCAACTGAATTATTCACCACGATGAGTTTATGAGTTTTTCACAACTCTCATAAATCCATCTGTCGTTCATGTTCAGTCATTTGTTTTTCAAAATAAAATCAAAAATAAGAAATGAAAAAAACAAACAAAAACTATTTTCTTCATTATTTGTCTCCAAAACCAAAATGAAAAAATGGATATCGACCATTTCCCTGAACCAGGTCTAAACCAGGTCTAACACAGGTAAACCAGGTCTAAACCAGGTCTGGTCTCAGTCCGGATCCTGGTTTAGACCTGGTTTAGTCCTGGTTCAGTTCTGGTTTAGACCTGGAATAGACCTGTTTCAGTCCTTTTTCAATTCTGGTTTGGTCCTGGTTTAGTCCAGGTTTAGTCCCAGTTTAGTCCTGGCTTGGTCCTGATTTAGTCCTGGTTTGGTTCTATCCACAGGAATGGCTCACAACCTGGTTTAGTCCTGGTTCAGTCCTAGTGTTGTCCTGGGTCATTCCTGGTTTAGTCCTGGTTTAGTTCTGGTTTAGTCTCAGTTTAGTCCTGGTTTAGTCTTGGTTTAGTCCTGTTTTGTTTCTTGTTTAGTTCTGGTTTAGTTCAGTTTTAGTCCTGGTTTAGTCCCAGTTTAATCCCGGTTTAGCCCTGGCTTGGTTCTGATTTAGTCCTGGTTTGGTTCTATCCACAGGAGGGTCCCACAACCTGGTTTAGTTCTGGTTCAATCCTGGTTTTGTCCTGGTTTGTTCCAGGTTCATTCCTGGTTCAGACCTGGTTTAGTGCTAGTTTAGTCCTGTTACAGTCCTGGTTTAGTCTAGGTTTAGTCCCGGTTTAGTCCCTGTTTAGTCTCAGTTTAGTCCCAGTTTAGTCCAGTTTTAATCCAGGTGTAGTCCTGATGTAGTTCTGGTTTGGTCCTTGTTTAGTCCTGGTTTGCGGCGCTTCCATTGGACTCCACAGTTTTCTAACGCTGAAGTCGTCTCTTTTGTTTCTTTCTTCGTCGTTTTAGATCAAAATTGTGATTTTTAAACGTCACAGTCACGTGTTTATTCAGATTCAATTAGTTTAGTTTTAATTTTCCTGTAACGCCACAGTTTGTCCAGCAGGGGGCACCACAGACTCACAGATGTCAGGATTACCCTTAACGAACCGTTCTGCGTAAATTAACTCCACGGATTTAGAGATAATTGGCTCAAATAACTGAAACATGACGCATTATTGGAGATTTGGTTGTATTTTTATTTTATTTTTTTAATCTGTGACAAAAATATAAAAAGAGAAATGATGTCACAGGTTTTGATTCTCCTGATAAATGTGTTTACGGAGCTGAGCTGGGACGTCCTGTCTCAGAAAAATACGTCAAGTCCAAGAGAAGAAGGGAAGTTCAACACGAATCTCTTCAAAATAAAAGTGTGGAGAAGGAGGAACAGAGACAGGAGCAGAGAAGGTCAGAGGAGCAAATTTAAAAAAAAAAATATTGGGTTAGAATTATTCAAATTTTTAGCTCATATCAATCACCACAAAATAAGAACGAGCCGAAGATTTGTTTGCTTTTGTTTCATGAGATTTTGAATTTTAAACTGCGTTAAATTTCTCACTTTGAATTTTGAAAAAACTCTGAAAAAACATGTTTTATTCTGAATTTTAATTTTAATCTTGGATCTTTGCTGTGAAATTTTGACTGTTGAATTTGAGGATTGAAAATGTCTGTGCTGGATATTTTAAAAGATGATTTTTTTTATTCTGAATTTGAAAAAGTCCACTTAAAATTTCAGTAACTCAAATTCAGAATAAAAACAATAAAAAATAAAAGATAAATACAAGCAAGAACATGTAGAAGATTTGTTTGTTTCTGTTTCATCATATTTTGAATTTTAAACACTGCTGAATTTCTCACTTTTAATTTTTTAACTCTGAAAAAAGATGCTTGAATTATTTTTATTCTGAATTTTAGTTGCTGAAATTTTAAGTGGACTTTTTCAAAGTGTTAAAAATTGACTGCTTGAAAATATTTATTTCTTAAATATTGTTTAAGGTGGCATTTTTATTCTGAATTTGAAACATATTGAAAAAATACACTTAAAATTTCAGCAACTCAAAAAAAAAAAAAAAAATTGAATGGAACAAATTATCTTCCATAGAAAGTGTCTCATACTGTTGGTTAAAGTTGCACTGCGTAACTTTTCTAACGGAGGGTCCACCCCCCACGTGTATTATATATATAATATAATATTCCACAGTATGGCTTTAACTTTGCCTGTCTCCATGGAGACAAACCAGAAGGTCAGAGGAGCAGAGGAGAAACCTTTTTTATTTTGAAAGTCCTCACAGGAAACGCGCGTCTGTCCTCGTGCGCAGATGTAAACAGCTGTGCGGAGCGACGCTGCCTCCGACATCCTTTACGCACGAGCTCAGACGGACCGCCGCACCGATAACGACACCGACACCGAACCTCCTCCGAACCTCCTCCGAACCTCCTCCGAACCATCACTGTTCTGCGCTTCATTTACGGACCTGACGTAAATCTGAACAAAACTCTGCGCTTTTCCCCCGAGCGTCACCCCGGGTCCTTCACGCGCGCGCCTCCTCGCGCCTCCTCGCGCCTCCTCGCGCCTCCTCGCGCCTCCTCGCGCCTCCTCGCGCCTCCTCTTGTCCGGCTCCTGTTGATGCTCCGAACCGGAATTATTCCCATTTAAATAAGTCGTTTACAAATTTAGAACATTTTGGGATTTTGTCATTTGGTTCTTGAGCAGCAGACCGGGCAGGTGTTGGCTCCGCTCCGGTTCTGTGTCTCCGGTTCTGCGGCTCCGGTGCTCCTCGTGTCTCCCCCGGGTGTCGGATGTGTTTGTAGCCGGGCAGGACGTGATGAACTCGGCGGAGCAGACCGTGACCTGGCTCATTTCTCTCGGAGTCCTGGATTCACCCAAAAAGCGCGTGTCCGACCCGGAGGCGTTTCTCCAGAGCGCGGTCCGGGACGGAGCGGTGCTGTGCCGCCTCCTGGAGCGACTCCGACCCGGCACCGTGGACAAGGTACGAACCGCTACTACAGAACCGCTACTACAGAACCAGGACTACACCATCAGTACTACAGTACTACAGAACCAGAGCAGGACCAGAACTACAGGACCAGTACTACAATACCAGTACTACAGTATCAGTACTACATGACCAGTACTACACAACAAGTACTACAGAATTACAGTATTAGTACTACAGGACCAGTACTACAGTATTAGTACTACAGAATAAGTACTATAGTGCCAGTACTACAGTATTAGTACTACAGAACCAGTACTACAATATTAGTACTTCAGGACCAGTGCTACAGTCTCAGTACTACATGATTAGTATTACACAATAACTCCTACAGAATCATTACTACAGGACCAGTACTACGTTACCAGTACTACACAACAAGTACTACACTACAAGTACTACAGAGCCAGTACTACAGTATCAGTACTACAGTATCAGTACTATAGTTTTTATTCAGTTTTAAAGAGCCCGTCTGATTCTGTTCTCTGTCTTTGTTCTAACATCGTTTCACACAAACCCTGAGTTCTTCTCTCAACCTGAAAACACTCTGTTCCACCTTGTGATGTCATCATGTGGTTACACAGGAAGTGCTCCACCGTGTTTTTAAACTCCACACACCTTCACTAGACTCATCTGGATCATTTCAGTCCTGGAATTTCAAATCTCGACTGAACTAAAGGGAAAAGGAGGTGTTCACGTGAAACCACTACAACTTCATGACATCACAAGGTGGAACATTTAGAGCTTTGGAGACGTGTGAATGAAACAAAACACAAGTCCAGCTCTGTTTTTGAGGAGGAACATTAGAACATGACTGAAAGCTCACAGGAGTTTTAACCCTCTCAGGCTCAAATTTATTTTTAGTATCAGGAAAAATCTGATATTTGGGGAAAATTATAATATTGGGCAGTAATATACAATCCTGACTTTTTTATCCTTTGTAAACAAAAAAACTATTTTGCACTTCTGGCCGTTTGCGTGTAGCTATTCTTGCATCGCCCACGTTTATCAGCATGGATGGGAGAAAAGGCTCCTGAGTTAAAAAAGCTCATATAATATGGATGTGGAGTAAGTAGGTACTTGGAATTTAGCTGTTGCAAACCTGCAACGCCTGCCTGGAGAGGGTTAACGACCGAGTACAGACAATGACGTTTATTTACAATCGGTTTATTTGTGTAAATTGTTTAAAACTGGAGACGTGCTCGTGTTTCCACAATGTTCAAATGTTCCAGATGTGTTTTTTAGACATATTATCCTGTTTTATTGTGTTTGTCCAGTGTTTGTTGAGTGATACTGAAGCAGGACGCGTCGTGAGAGATTCTGTGTGTTTAATGGAAAACATCAAACTCCAGAGTGTTGCTCATGGGCCAAAACAGAGATGGAACCTGTTTATTATAGTCAAGTCTTGGTTTAGATCTGGTCTGGGTCTGGTTTCAGATGGTTTTAGACCTGTTTTAAGTCTGGTGGTTTAGTCCATTCTTTGCTCCTAGTTTAGTCCAGGTTTAGACCTGTTTTAGTCCAGTTTTAGTCCTAGTTTATTCCTGTTTAGTCTTGGTTTAGTCCTAGTTTAGTCCTGATTTAGACCTGGTTTAGTCCAGTTTTAGTCCTGGTTTAGACCTGGTTCAGTCCAGTTTTAGTCTTGGTTTAGATCTGGTTTAGACCTGGTTCAGTCCAGTTTTTGTCCTAGTTTAGTCCTGATTTAGACCTGGTTCAGTCCAGTTTTTGTCCTAGTTTAGTCCTGATTTAGACCTGGTTCAGTCCAGTTTTTGTCCTAGTTTAGTCCTGGTTTAGTCCTGGATCAGACTTGGTTCAGCGCAGAATTTTTTTTAATCCTAAAATAAAAATACATTGGTGTTTTCAGTTATTAAATACATAAAAAAGTATCGCGTGTTTTATTTTGAAAGTCCAGAGCGGAACCTCTGCACCTTAATGACGTCAGTGAGGGTAACGAGCCGCAGGTGGCGAGGGCAAAACAAAGCGCAGTAATTACACCTGAGTAAACCTTGGACCTGGTGACGGCGCAGTCGTGGCGCAGTTTCGGCGCAGTTTCTGCGGGTTTCGGGCTAAACGTGACACTTTTCTGCGCAGTTTTTCCCGGAGCCGCGGACGGAGGCGGAGACTCAGCGGAACATCGCGGAGTTCGTGCAAAGCTGCGGGGGATTCGGTGTAGAGGTGAGTCCCGCCGGCGGACGGAGAACCGGACCCGGGGAAGGAGAGTCAGACCCGGGGTGGAGAGTCAGACCCGAGTCAGACCCGGGGTGGAGAGTCAGACCCGGGGTGGAGAGTCAGACCCGGGGTGGGAGAGTCAGACCCGGGGTGGAGAGTCAGACCCGGGGTGGAGAGTCAGACCCGGGGTGGGAGAGTCAGACCCGGGGTGGAGAGTCAGACCCGGGGTGGAGAGTCAGACCCGGGGGGGGAGAGTCAGACCCGGGGTGGGAGAGTCAGACCCGGGGTGGAGAGTCAGACCCGGGGGGAGCTGCATTTCTGTGTCTGTGAGTTTAATTTGGAAAACATTTTAAAAGTTTGTTTAAAACTGCAGAATTTGTGTTTTATAAACTTTATGAACATGTGTGTGTGTAAAACTTCACTGTGACGATCACTGAACATAAACCCGACACACGTGTGATACAGATTTACAACCTGGTTCAGTCCTGGTCCTGGTTTAGTTCTGGTTTAGTTCTGTTTTTTCTGCTTTGATGTAGTCCCAGGTGTAGTCCCGGAGTAGTCCCGGTGTAGTCCAGGTGTAGTCCCGGTGTAGTCCCAGTGTAGTCCCTGTGTAGTCCCGGAGTAGTCCCGGTGTAGTCCCAGTGTAGTCCCGGTGTAGTCCCAGTGTAGTCCCAGTGTAGTCCCGGTGTAGTCCAGGTGTAGTCCCGGTGTAGTCCAGTGTAGTCCCAGTGTAGTCCAGGTGTAGTCCAGGTGTAGTCCCAGTGTAGTCCAGGTGTAGTCCCGGTGTAGTCCAGGTGTAGTCCAGGTGTAGTCCAGTGTAGTCCCAGGTGTAGTCCAGGTGTAGTCCAGGTGTAGTCCAGGTGTAGTCCTGGTGTAGTCCCAGTGTAGTCCAGGTGTAGTCCACGGTGTAGTCCAGGTGTAGTCCCAGTGTAGTCCAGGTGTAGTCCAGGTGTAGTCCTGGTGTAGTCCCAGTGTAGTCCAGGTGTAGTCCCGGTGTAGTCCAGGTGTAGTCCCAGTGTAGTCCAGGTGTAGTCCACGGTGTAGTCCTGGTGTAGTCCCAGTGTAGTCCCGGTGTAGTCCTGGTGTAGTCCCAGTGTAGTCCAGGTTTAGTCCCAATGTAGTCCCGGTGTAGTCCGGGTGTAGTCCCAGTGTAGTCCCGGTTTAGTCCCGATGTAGTCCCAGTGTAATCCAGGTGTAGTCCCGGTGTAGTCTCGGGGTAGTCTCAGTGTAGTCCTAGTTTAATCTCGGTGTAGTCCCAGTTTAGTCTCGGGGTAGTCCAGGGTTAGTCCTGGTGTAGGCCCAGTTTAGTCTTGGTGTAGTCCAGGTTTAGTCCTGGTGTAGTCCCGGTGTAGTTCCAGTTTAGTCCTGGTAGTCCAGATTTACTCCAGGTGTAGTCCAGGTTTAGTCCAGGTGTAGTCCAGATTTAGTCCAGGTCCCAGTGTAGTCCAGGTTTAGTCCTGGTGTAGTCCAGATTTACTCCAGGTGTAGTCCAGGTTTAGTCTTGGTGTAGTCCAGATTTACTCCAGGTGTAGTCCAGATTTAGTTCAGGTTTAGTCCAGGTTTAGTCCAGGTTAGGTCCAGGTTTAGTCGTAGTGTTTTGAAGAGTTGTGAGTCTTGTAATGATTAAAGTCGACAAATAAAATGTTCCATAATATTAAACCTATATTTATGTGACTCTGGATCAGAAAGAGAGACTAATGAACAGATGAACAGACGAACAGATGAACAGACGAACAGATTTGATTTAACATTTAAAATTTGACTTTTTTAATTGGTTAATGTTCATTTTCCAAAACAAATAATTCCCTCCGTCCTCTCTCTCCTCCCTCCATCTCTCTCTCTCTTTTCTATAGATTGATGTTCCAGTTTTTCCGTGGGCAGACAGACCCTCGTGTCTCGCCTCATTCAGATCGATAAAGTCTGATGCTTAATAATATGATTTAACTAACTCGATACTCGATACCGATACTCGATACCGATACCACAATGAGTATAAAACGCTCTTTCTTTAGACAAACTCCTGTGATTTTCCACTTTTCTTTTCTTTTCTTTCCCCATGTGTCTTTATATCTGTGTCTAAACCTGGTCTAAACCCGGTCTAAACCCGGTCTAAACCCGGTCTAAACCCGGTCTAAACCAGGTCTTGTGCGTGTGGTTTTGCAGAGGTCTTTTGGCCGGGCTCCAGGACGTCGCTCTGTTTGATTGAACCTGAATATTATGGTCTGTCTCTGTGGGCGGAGCCTCGAACGATGATGTAATCCTCCCAGAGAATGAGACAGAAGAGAAAACTAAACCAGGACTAAACCAGGACTAAACCAGGACTAAACCAGGACTAAACCTGGTCTAAACCAGGACTAAACCAGGACTAAACCAGGACTAAACCTGGACTAAACCAGGACTAAACCTGGACTAAACCAGGACTAAACCAGGATTAAACCAAGACTAAACCTGGACTAAACCAGGACTAAACCTGGACTAAACCAGGTCTAAACCAGGTCTAAATCAGGTCTAAACCCAGGTCTAAACCCGGTCTAAATCCGGTCTAAACCAGGTCTAAACCAGGTCTAAACCAGGTCTAAACCAGGACTAAAACAGGACTAAAACCAGGACTAAACCAAGTCTAAACCAGGACTAAAACAGAACTAAACCAGGACTAAACCAAGTCTAAACCAGGACTCAAACAGAACTAAACCAGGACTAAACCCAGGAGTAAAACAGGGACTAAACCAGGACTTATTTAAAACGGTCTGGTTCACTTCAGGGTTGGGATTTGGTCTCTCGTCTCTAAAACAGGTATGATACTGGAACATTTGGGTTAGTGTGTTTTTTTTGTTTTTGTTTTTTTTTTAAGAAAAAAGTCTTTAGTCCTGGTTTAGACCTGGTTTAGACCTGGTTTAGACCTGGACCTGGAGTGTGTGAAGTTTGTGTTACAAAGGATTAAAGGAGCTCAGACTGAAGGATAATCCTGCTCCAGACTCCAGACTCCAGACTCTGCTTCTGTTCTGACTCCAGACTGCAGGTGGCACTGTGTCGTGTCCCGTGTGTCTGTTCTGACTCCAGACTGCAGGTGGCGCTGTGTCGTGTCCCGTGCGTCTCTGTTCTGACTCCAGACTGCAGGTGGCGCTGTGTCGTGTCCAGTGTGTCTGTTCTGACTCCAGACTGCAGGTGGCGCTGTGTCGTGTCCCGTGCGTCTGTTCTGACTCCAGACTGCAGGTGGCGCTGTGTCGTGTCCCGTGTGTCTGTTCTGACTCCAGACTGCAGGTGGCGCTGTGTCGTGTCCAGTGTGTCTGTTCTGACTCCAGACTGCAGGTGGGCTGTGTCGTGTCCAGTGTCTGTTCTGACTCCAGACTGCAGGTGGCGCTGTGTCGTGTCCCGTGTGTCTGTTCTGACTCCAGACTGCAGGTGGCGCTGTGTCGTGTCCCGTGTGTCTGTTCTGACTCCAGACTGCAGGTGGCGCTGTGTCGTGTCCCGTGCGTCTCTGTTCTGACTCCAGACTGCAGGTGGCGCTGTGTCGTGTCCCGTGTGTCTGTTCTGACTCCAGACTGCAGGTGGCGCTGTGTCGTGTCCCGTGCGTCTGTTCTGACTCCAGACTGCAGGTGGCGCTGTGTCGTGTCCCGTGTGTCTGTTCTGACTCCAGACTGCAGGTGGCGCTGTGTCGTGTCCCGTGCGTCTCTGTTCTGACTCCAGACTGCAGGTGGCGCTGTGTCGTGTCCCGTGCGTCTCTGTTCTGACTCCAGACTGCAGGTGGCGCTGTGTCGTGTCCAGTGTGTCTGTTCTGACTCCAGACTGCAGGTGTCGCTCTTCTGACTTTATAAACATGTGAACAGTTGTTTTGTGTTTGTGTTCCAGCCCTTCGACCCCAGCGACCTCCTGCTGAACTTTCCCAGAGTCCTCGGCTGTTTGGTCGCTCTCAACAAGGCCACAGAAGGTACGACTCCGCCCCCTGCTGTCCCGCGTCTGCAACTGTCAGGCACGATTAATCGATATCTGATCATTAAGAATTTCGTCGATTATGTTCATTTTTAATCGACAAACCGTATGTAGGTCTCTGTGCGTAGCGTAGGGCGACCAAACGTCCGTTCTTCCCCGGACATGTCCGTTTTTCACGTCCTGTTCTGGCCGTCCAAGTTTTTTTTTTTATAAAGTGATACAAATGTTCAGGTTTCATGATCTTTCATTGGGACATTAAACTGAACGTCTCTCGTAGTGTCTCTGCATCAGAAGGAGCGAGACACAAACAGTGGGTCAGTCTGCAACGAGCCGAAGCACAAATGTGGATTTAACCAGGATTTGTAGAAGAAATTCCACACTTTCCGTTGCGTTGGGACAAGTGTGAGTCCATGTGCACAGTGGATAAAGCAGCACATATGTTTCTGTGTCCAGTGGGAAAAAGTTTTTCCAGGTGAGAGTCGCTCAATGTGGATGACGAGGCCCCGCCCCCCTCCCCCCGTACGCTGTCCTGGTTTTGACAAACACAAATCTGGTCACACTGACCTGTATTCACCTGAGTCATGTCTTTTAATCCAACACAAGTTGAACCACATCAGCGACACAAGAGCTGATTTTTTTTCTTCACTTATTTTATGCAAATGAGTCATGTGATTTTAAGTTTTGTTTCTGTGAGAGTTGAACAAAACTGAATTAAACACATTATAATGTCAAACAGCTGATGTGGATCTAGTGCAGAGGTGCTCAATACGTCGATCGTGATCTACCAGTCGATCTCCAAGGTCGTGTGTGTAGATCTCTGTGTCTCGTCTCGGACTCGTGTTTGGACTCGGTCTTGTCTCTCACTCGAGGTCTGACACTCAACAAGTGTGATCATATTTGATTCCGGCCGCTGCTGTTGGTAATAAACTTGTAGCGGGTGCAGGAGCGTGTGGGGCGTCTCAGTGCAGCCTGTGCGCTCATTTGAAACCCGCGGAGACTCTACGGCGCATCACAAACACACACGCTCCCTATGCACGGCTCGTCTGCGACAGCGTGTGCCCTCGTGTACCAGCGTGCATCACAGGGCAGGTTCAACTTCCTAAACATCCTACCTGTCCACCTGCCTCACGTCAGCACGCCGCCCCTCGCCTTTTCACGCTCTCGCTCCTTCCTGCGTACAGCCAACACAAGCCCCTCCCACAGTGCGGCTGATTAGAAGAACAAGACCAAACGTGAAGCAAAAACCAGTCTAAATTTGTGTTCCAGTGTTGGCACAAAGCAGGTCTACAGCATAGAGCGGATCTACAGAACAGACCTACTGCCACATGTGGCTGAAGTTTGTCTAACAAAAGTGACAAATGCATCTGTGTTTGTCACGATGTGCGTTTGGTTTGGTAAACGTGCAGAGGCTGGTAAATATCACTGCAAAACCACAAAAGAATGAAACTCCAGTTTGGAACTTTAAAAAACAGGTTTAAAAATCTTCCTTCACTTTTTTCACAGTTTTGTGTAAAGTGCCAGAGGAAGTTCTCTTAAAGAAGAGGTTCTCAAACTGTGGGGGAGGGTCCAAAAAAGGGCCACAGAGTGTTTCAGTGCAGTTTGTTTGACTTTGTATTAGGTCGATCATTTTGACTTGGTCATTTTGTAAGTAGGTCACATGATGAAAAAGTGTGAACACCCCTGGTCTAGACGGTTTATTTTTATATGTCATAAAGTTGAATTTATTTATGCAGATTAGTAGTAATAATAATGATGATCATTTTAATATAAAAACATGAATTATTAATCAATAATCGATCGTTAATTCTCCCGACGATCGATTAAGAAAATTTAATCGAATGTCCGTCTCTACTTTAAACTCGTGGTGTTGAATATTCTGGACGTTGTGGAGGCTGAAGCTCAGAGAAGAAGAAAAACAAACTGTTTTAAAATGAACTCGTCGTGTTTTTCGTCTTTTTAAACGTTTCTTTTCGCTGAGTCTGAGTTTGTGGATTTGCTTCAGTCACAACCTCAAGGAAAAACACCCAGTCAAACTGTCAATCAAGAACAACTCTCTCTCTCTCCTCTCCCTCCTCTGTTCATCCTGTCATCTCCCTCTCCCTCGCTCTCTTTTTTTTTCTTCTTTCCTCCTCTTTTCCTCTCTCTCCATCCGTCACCTGTCATTCTTTCTCTCTCTCTCTCTCTCTCTCTCTTTCTTTCTCCCTTCTCCTCTCTGTCCATCCTCTCAATATTCTTCTTGTTTCTCTCTCTGTCTTTCCTCTTCCTCCTCCTCCTCTGTTCATCCTGTCATCTCCCTCTCTCTTTTTTTTCTTTTCTTCTTTCCTCCTCTTTTCTTCTCTCTCCATCCATCACCTGTCATTCTTTCTCTCTCCCCCTCCTCTCTCTCTCTCTCTCTCTTTCTTTCTCCCTTCTCCTCTCTGTCCATCCTCTCAGTATTCTTCTCGTTTCTCTCTCTCCTCTGTCCATCCTGTCACTCCCTCTCTCCTCCTGTCTTCTCTCTTTTCCTCCATCTGTCATCTGTCATTTGTTTTCTCTCTCTACTACTCTCTCTTTCTCCCTCCTTTCTATCCATTCTGCAGTTTCTCTCTCTCCTCCTCCTACACTCCTCTTCTTCCTTTCTCTCGCTCTTCTCTACTACCTCTCTCTCTCTCCTTTCCATCTTGCTCTCCCTCCCTCTCTTCTCTCTCTCCGTCTCTCTTTCTCTCGCGCTCTCTCTCTCTCTCTGTACCCACTCTTTTTCCCTCTCTTTTCATCTCCATCCCTCTCTCCCTCTCTCTTCTCTTCCTCCCTCTCTCCTTTTCCATCCTACACTCTGCCCCCTCACACTCTCTCTCTCCCCTTCTCCTCCACCATTCTCTCCCTCCTCCCTCCCTCTCTCCATCTCTCTCTCTCTCTTTTCCATCCCACTCTTTCTGGACGGGATCCTTCGTCCTTCACATTTCACTCTGTGTTCTGAACGTGTTTCTGCCAAAAACTCACCAGACTTTCCTTTAATTTGACATTTATTTATTTATTTATTTCATTTTTTTACACACGAAAAACTAAAATGATGAAAAACAGTCAAAGTGTTTTAAATCAAAATGGTAAAATTGTTTAAAGTAAAAAAAAAAAAAAAAAAACGCGGAAAAAACCCCCAAAAAAACACAGAAGCGGTTTGTGTTTAAAGCCGCACTGTGGGCTCATCAGACTCTTTTCTCTTTGTTGTTTTGTCTGGAATGTTCCACAGTGCAGCATTAAACCTTTCTATCTCCACGGAGACCAAACCACCAGACGCAGTTCCAGGTCAGAT